TTTTTGAAAGAAGTCAGAGTTATACTAACTAAGAATGCATTTATTTGATGAAAAATACAGTAAAAACAGTAATATTATGGAAAATTATTACAATTCAAAGGAACTTTCTATTTTAATGTTTTTTTTAAAGCAGACATTACTCCAGTCTTCAGTGTCACATGATGCAAAACATTTCTTTTTAACATTTTATCAATGTTGAAAACTGTTGTGCTTAAATTTGTGACCTTTTTTTCAGGATTCTTTAATGAATAGAAAGTTTAAAGGAACAACATTTATTTGAAGTCTTTAGTAACATTATATGTTTTTACTCTGACTTTTGATCAGTTTAATGCACCCTTGCTGAATAAAAGTTTTCATTTCTTTCAAAAAAAATCTTACTGACCACAAACCTTTGAATGTTTTTTTTTTTCATTTATTTATTTAAATCTAATCTATTGTAAAATATATTTATAATAAAGGATATTTCAACTTTATATAGACTTATATTGACTTTATATACATTTTATATTCATCATTTATATATGTAAACTACAAAAAAAAAAATGGGCCAAGCCAAATACTGTAGATAAAGTAATTTAGTGCTGGACAGCTTTTCCCTTTGTTTTCTTTAAATGTTTAAGCTGTGTGGGTAAACCTGCACACTAATTTTTACAGGAAGATGAGTCAGTGTTGTTCCACTCAATATTGATGGCTTCAGACTGTTCACGAGTAGCTGAAAAATATTCTCTCAGTTAGTTGGGGTTTAATGAGAGACCAAAAATTCTTTATGGGGTTCAAATCTGGACTCTGACCAGGCCAAAACATGAGCCTGATGGACTTGTTCTCAAGCCACTTCTTGGTTGTCTTTGCAGTGTAGGCAGGAGCATTTTTTCTTGTTGAAAAATAACATCTGATCATTCCTCTTTAGACTAGTTTTCAATTGTGGGAAGCACATTCTTCAGTATTCTTTCATACTCCAAAGCATTACTTGACTTTTCACAGTGAAGCAGCTCACGAGTACCAGCAGCTGAAAAGGCTCCCCACATCATACCACATCTTCCTCCATGCTTCACTGTGGTAGAAATGCATTCATCTTTGTTCTGTCTTTGATGCTTTTCTGAGACCGCAATGGCTTTTTAAGGAATGCATGTGCCAAATTCTTGCAAGTAATTTGTGGTTAAGTCCATTTGAAGCTTAGAGTTTAGCCATTTTCCGGTTTGGCCCATTTTTTTTGGCCCAGAAGTGCACACCTGTAGTTATTCTGCTAGCTTAAGTTGTCTGCAATTAATAAAAAATATTTAATTTATTTCCCACTATAGGGGAGGAGCGCTGTGTCGTATCTGGAAAGCCATTCAGAGACACCGTAATAAAGCGCTTAAAATGACGAGGGAAATTCAGAAGGATGAAAGCAGCGAGAGGTTGCTGTTGACTGACACCTGAGCCAGCATTATAATACATTCACACAAACATCCCTATAATGAGAGACCCTTACTGGCCCAAACCTTGTAATTATGTCATGCTCTGCCCCAGTTGGACAGCTATGACCTAATGTTTTTGTGCTATTTTTAGTATAGGTTTTCAGCCTCTCCATCTCATTTCCATTCGATTTCAATAGGAA